GAAAACACGGTGAAACCAACACCAACCTGGACTCACTTCCGAAACCGCCTTCTGGCGTGGCTTGGAAGATGCCTGCTTGGGGTGAGTCGTTACGGCCTTACGAGATTGTGACCTGGGTCGGGGGACGTAGGGGGCTGGCACGTTTGTGCGGTCTCGGAAACTGAGACGAGTATGGACACATCTGTCCCTATCCCCATGAGCCGGAGGTCGTCTAGCATCGAGATCAATGTTAGAACGGGAAGTAGAGGCAACAATATAGTTGTCTTTGACGCTAACACGTGCTAGAATCTTGTCTGCTATGAGGGCCACCTTGTTCAGTGGGGTGTCCTCGAGCAGGGCCGTAAGGGTTGGCTGGATACTGACTGGTAAGGCTTCGAGCCACAACTCTTTGACTATCTCAGAGTCTGCTGTCGAGTTTCCTGCAAGGGATTGCAGGCGCGTGAGGTGGTGGCTCGGCTTAGCATCACCCATAGGGTGACGTGCTAAGAGAGTCCTCAATCGTCCCTCTCTTGATGGGAGGAAATGTCGAAGGATGGCATCCTTAAGACGGTCGTAAACGTTCGGAACGTTCGGATTGAGGACAACCTCACGAACAGCAGTTAGGTGATCCCCGGGCAATGATTCCAAAGCGTAGGCGTACTTTTGCCTTTGGTTGGTTATGCGGCGGATCTCAAATTGAGATTCCAGTGCCGCGAACCAGACTTCTGGATCATGAGGGATAAAAGGAACCGGTCGAAAATTAATAGCCTGTATCTCGGAGTCTATCATATTTATGTTATTCTTATCGTTATCTACCATATTAAGTTGCCAAAATATTATATATTGAAAAATATCAATACGAATATATGCAACCGATGTGGATAGATAAATAGACTCACCGGATTGATCTGGCTTGGAGAATTGGCCAAGTTTGAACTGTGCTCGAAGAATTGGGTTACTGGTTGTGTTTCACCAGATGTTGTGCGTGTTCCCAATACGGCTCATCAGTTTGTAGTGTATGTCGAGTCGAAGATCATTCCAGTTAATATCAAATGAATGGCAACTATGAAGTTTCAAAAACATAAATATATGAACTATTACTTGTTTTTACGCTTTTATGGGCAGTTTTGAGACATTAATATAGTCAATGTACCTTGGAATCTGTCTTTGTTGTTTTACCACGGTTTTTGCATTACGTGTTTGATTTTTGACCAATCAGAGGCTTCGACAACGGGCAGCCATCTTGGTTTGTCTATCTCTGTTCAGCCATTGCTATCAGGTCAGTTGTGTTTATGACTGTCTGCTGTGCGCTCGTTGCTCTGCGTTGTTGCTCAGTTTCCTCCATTCTTCTGTGAAAATTTCGAAATGATTGTGCGTCTAGACTGGGTTTTTGTAGATTATATCACCCGCATTTCTATTTCCTTTGTAATGGTCGCTTTATGTCATGGTATTAGGGACTTCTAAGCTATGTATTGTAGGAGTATTTGTGCCTTACGTACTGTTTTTTATGTAAATCTGGATGGATTTCCTAAATCTCCCTCCGTCTTTTCGTTCCAGTTATGGTGGATGAACTTCACGTTCTTAAGAAGAGGATTAGAACACTCAGTGAATCTTCCAGGTATGATTTTAACAAACGTCTGTACTCTTATCTTCGACTCTTAAACTATGTTCTGTATTCCTGCTGTTCACACGTATCTTTTTGCTTGCAGTTATTTGTTCACAATACTTTTCTGAATGTCTGCTTAGACGACTTGAGTTAGGTCAAGTACAATAAGCTTTTTCTTCAAACTTCACGAATACGGAGCAGTGGCAACAGACATCAACTGAACATCGAAAGTTTGCCAGGAAAAGTCTGGTGGTAAAAACTCTTATTCTTCCATCTTGAGTTATTGGGTTGACTTAATATGGTCGTTTTATGCTAGTACATATTTTTTCACACGTCCAAACTACACATTTCACACCGATCATGGCATATTTAATGTATACTATGAGAAATCGAGGTAGTTGCGTAATTTTCCGAAAGTGACTACTGTGTTGCTAGACAGTATGCTTCTCCATAATTCTGGAGCGTAGCCACGTTGACTCAAATGTTGCTTACTGACAGCTCGGGATGCCTAGTGAAGAGCTTTGTTATCCATTTTTATCTTAAGAGGCAGTGACAAGGCACGCTATCGTACCAAGATCAACCTCTAGCCAGATAATCATACACAAGTAATTCAGCAAGACTAACGCAGCTAATCTTCGTATGCATCTTAAACGGTTATTGTGAATGTCTGTTTTATGCTTCTGAGCGATCACCCAAGTGTTGTCTGAACATGCTTTAATGGTCCTGTTAGATTTTGATCGGAATGTATTAACAAGCGCAAAAGTTAGCTTTGTTTTTAGATATTTACACACTACTTTCCAACTAATCCAGACCCTCTGGTACTGTGCAGAGTAGTAAACATGATTAGATCATAGCCACTTACTCAAATATCACGAAATGTCTCAATCAACTTAGTAGATCTTGGAGTGGGATGGGAGGTTGTAACGTTCCAGCTAGAGTTTGTCGGTCAGTGAGTTTTCGTATCTATTGCTGCTACAGCACGGTACTGGGACCGGTGCTCTACATGTTTCTCACATTCAATATATACTCAGGAATCTCTTGACTGGTCAGCGATTATTTTGTAAGTATTAAGTACCGGTGTGTAGTCTGTTTTGTAGAGCAAAATTTACGTTATTTCTTTGGACTCACATCGAAAATATATTTTTATAGCTGACCGACACTGACATGTACATGTGTCTGTCCTTGGGGACGTACCTTTGTGTAATGGCATGCGTAACTTCCTGAATATCTAAAGATGTCCTGTGCATAAAACAATTGGCTGGTATTATTCTATCGTTCGAGGGAGCGATTAGAATGTTAGATGGCAATCTGGCGTTTTCAGAATACTTTGTCAGCCATACTTCGAAGGCTTTCGGTAGAATGAGTAACAACATACAGAAGACTAGTATAGGTCGTCTCTGGATTATGTTTACCAGTGCTCAGTCAGTGGATATTTTTCGGAACAGACGTAAAATTCTACATAACGCAAGAAGTCACGATCGGAAAAAGTACCGTCGAAAAGTAAATAGTCATAAGGAATATAGCTCGAGAAACGTTTGTGAATCACAAGGTGATTAATTGTTTTTCTAAACTAAGTACAGACCTATATATTTAGACTAACTTTGTAAGACCTGGTAATATTACAGTTGCCTAAAGCAAGTTGGCAGTATCACAGCCCTCACACGAATCAAACGAGATTTGTGCGGCTCATACTTATCGGGTGCCCCTTTGTACGAACATTTTTGTTTAAATAAATTAATAAAAACAAGTTGGTGAAATGTTGCATGAACCTCGTGACTACCTGTTGGTTCCTGGTCGCTGCCGCAGCACTGGATATCATAATACTCGTCCATGTAAAACAGTTAAGTCAACGAATGTGGTTGCACCAGTGTGGTCGGTACAGAAAATCCTTAGTAGCTCTTTGGTTGCGTTAGTTGTAATCCTCGGTTAAGTCACTGATTCTCTAAAGTTGTACCCAATACTTTTTCGACGAAACTAACGGCGGATCGCAACGGCAACTACTTGCCCCCACTCTTGCGTTTTTTCAATGAGCCCTCGCGACATGTTCAGGACTTTTACTGGTCCTTACGATGTGTGTCCGTAAGGCTGTCACGGCATCCACCAAATGCTGTAAGTATAGTATATGCTACGTCAATTATGTTAGCTACATTGAGCAGTTCACGCTAGGTATGTTTAGTGACAAATTTACACTATCAAATACAGGAAAATAGTTTTTATGTCGTTAGACATGTATTTGGGCTCTAACCGGTTTTTGAAGCTGTCACTAAGTCTACGGACCGAAACTGAACTTTGTGGTCCTTATCAAGCCCTGTTATCAGGTGTGTCCGCGTTATCAGTTGTGAGCCATATTTCCTAAAGCAGCAAATGTGGTTTCCCAGCTGCTCAAATTGCCGTAGGTGGACTACGGTTTATTGGTCTGACATAAACTGGGTTGTCCATCAAATCATCGCTCGACAACTAAGCTTGGAGTAGGAAAGTACTCCGGCAACAAGTGCTTAAAGGGGAAACTCGCGGCAATTAGTCGCTGCACTCCAACCGTTACGAGTATTCGTAGGCTGTGTGTAGGCCTTTCTCTCTTGGAGTTTGTTTAGACTTAATTTGCTATTTGTATCAGGTGATTAAGGTCGGTAAAATCAAATGGGTTAGTAACGTTTTACCTTAATCATCACATTTCAAGTTATTAAACGACATTTGAAGTCACTATAAGTCTTCGAAATTGAGTTAATACCTTGGAGGCTTGTGTGTTGTTATATATTGATGACCAAGTTGAAGGAGACTGAACACTACACTAGGTAGAGTTGCAAGTTACTCATATGGCCTACTTGGTTATACGACGTTATCTTGAAGTTCCTTATCGTCGATCATGAAATTATTCTCGTAAAAAGCTCCATCCTACTTATACTGACTACTATAGTATGAGTCGAAATGATAACACGGTGTTTTTTGTAAGGATATCTTTGTTCTTAGGGGTATCTTGTCTGCACACCTTAGTTTCCACCGTAGCTAGCGCACTTCAGACTAGCAGGCTTCACTTTGGGATCCTCGAGAAGTACTTCTAGTCGACAATACTTCATTAGAAATGGAAATTATCATGTTTCGGCGTTTAAAGTCCAGGATGAATATATGGGTCGGTTGATCAATAAATCTTATTCTTCTACAACTTCCACGTTTCTGGAAATGTGGTATCTCATCTGACTTCAATGTGCAAACCTCAAATTTTTAAAAATTACAAACCTAATGTATTTGAAAATGCTACATCAATGTTTGTAACATTTTAATCTTCAATATAATTCCTATTGTAAATTTTCTACGCATTCTGCACTTAAGTTCAAGCAGGGATGTTAATTTTTCTTACGGTGTTAGTCTTGTATGACTAGAGAGAAAAGTAGTAACAGTTCAGTTAAGTAGTTGCGATAATTTTTCGCGCATAATTTTGATCAATAATGAAGCCCACAAATTTATGTCAGTAACAAATAAGTGGCAATAGTTGTAGTGTACACCGATGGTCTCACAAAAACAACAAACCGGTGTCCATATTTTTATCCGATGCGATAAACAACAGTCATACTATTATTCCTAATCTATCTCTGGTCCTACTGATTTTCACTTTCACTGTGGCAGGTGTTTATGTTAAGTATAACGTGGTGCTGTTAACTACTCTGCTCCATTACGAGTGGTGACATAAGTCTGTGCCGTATGAGTTTGCTATTCCCTCCTAACCATTAAGGTTCATGGGTCTTAGTACAAGCTTTCAGATGTTACACACATACAGGCTAGCGTATTACTGTACGGTTAGCAAGTTAGATGCAGACTCATTTTCTTCAGTTCTGCTTTTCGTCGGTACCTAATTGCTTGGTGTATAAACCACATGCTAGGTGAAACCAATCTACACTTAGCTCGGAAATAGATAAGTGTTTCTAAAATGTCCAAGTGAGGTTTTACTCCGACAAAATCAGGGAGTTAGCACTGTATGCTCGTTCAAAGGTGATTACTCTCGATGCACAGACTTCCAAGCCGAGACCTCTTCTGGCTACCGTATCCAGGTATGTACTAATTTGTGTACGAATAGCGAAGTGGTATATCTTTACAGCTCGTATTGACTAATGTCGGCGTTACCGTATACCGATAAGTCGATTAATAAATAATCAGTTGCCGATTAAGACACATTCCATCGCTCTCTATGTTAGTCGTTCTAAGGTGCAAAGATACATGTCATGCCTTTTATATGGTTCTTAGGATTCTTATCGAATAAGCTACCCCTACTGAACACAAGTAGAGCTAAGTTCTAATTTAGTTAAGCGATCTGTTCGTCTACACATACAATCGTTTCCAGGTTCAGTATAAGGCTACCTAAACAATATCGTATGGTTTTCGATGTAGTGAAGTTTAAGTTTAAAATCCGCGTATTGCTGCATTTACACATAGTCTAATAAATACGGTCCAAGAACAGCATAAATTAGCTTTATCTACTTCAGGAATGATTATCACCAATCTGACGTAAAGTACTCGGTACAGGTTTACAACGGATCTTAATTTGCCTAGCAGTAGATGTTAGTTCTTCAGTAAATGTAGCCGACACTAGCGTCTGATGGATAACTTTACACCTGTAACATTACTACTCCCAGGTTAACTGTCCAGGCTAATCAGTGATTAGTTGACAAAAAGAGAAGTCTGAAAGTTCTACTGACTTCAGTTTCTCGAAATGACTAGGCTTTCATATTATATTGCTCGTGTTGTGTTGCCATGCGAGTAGTTACTAAGACTGCATCTGGTGCTCATTCAAGTCCCATAAGTCGCTTTAAGAACTGGGAACACAATCGCGCGAGATTTAGGTGTTTGTTGATCCCCAATGAAGCTATTGTGGTGTGTGTATAGTGTAGCTCATACAAGTACACGTTTGTATACTAAACCACATTTGGCGCATATGTGCTGGTGATACTATCTAAAGCGAAACAGATGTAACGGGATCCCAACAAGCAAATTTGTGATTATACATTATCTGATTCAAAACTAGATTCCCACACAGAAGGTACCTGTGACTAGCCGTTACTATTATTTTCATGAAACAATAGTCGTGAGACTCAAGATTCCTGACTAGTCATGGGATACAGTTTAAGAGCGGACAACTTAATACGTTTGGTGAGATCTAACGGGAAGACATCGAGACGATTTCTTATGTGTTAGATTATAGTTCAGGTAATTCCGAAAAATTTATCGTGTCGCTCGAACTTAGTGATATTCAGAACTTTTGATTAATGCATTCTAATTTAAGGATTCTTTGTGTGGGTAGGAGTGAGGTATTTTTGTCAACGGTGTATACGATTGACTGTGTCTACATGTACTAGGAAGCACACAGTACACTGCATATTACAGGGAATAACGTGCCATCAGATGTCGTTCCTGAGTATTATTTCTGTATTGATATCGCTTGCTTTGATCTAGATCAAATAAGAGTTCTGATATTCTATGATTCACATCCTTTAAGAATTGGTCAGGTCACACTAACCCAAGTAATGGTTCGTCGACATAACACGCTTGAATCCTAGACCCTTAGAATTCTCATTACATCTATGTATTTAGCAGCTGATAAACGTGTCTGTGTTTCCAACTTCTTTTATAAGGTAATCAGTAGGTCGATTCAGAATTCTCTATGTTTTGAATGTAGTTTTTGTGGACATAAGTGTCTTCCTAGTCGACTGAATAATCATGTCATAAAATCTCACTGACATTATACTGAACTAAGTTTGACCTTCACCTCTTAACCTCTACTTTATATTAAACAACTATTTACACTACCTTCCTTTACTTTCTATGTATGATTGTCATAAATGTGGGTCCATCATAGTTATGTGCCTTGTATTGCTGTGTTTATGACCATAGATTGTGTGACTAGCTCATAGGAAACAAGTTTGATTTTCTACAAAGGCCCACTTCAAATCATATCTTCGACTTTCATTTCAAACTGCCTAATATTAGCTTTTGCACATAGATATCGAAAAATGCTTGAACAGAGAACTAGGGCTACACCTATAATAAGCCTTGCTAAGTTTTAAAAGCTCGCGATGGTGTAAGATTCCGTGGTTTCGTAACATACACTGTAATGTTAAGTGTATGCTGGTATACCATTAGAAGGACCTGCATCCGAATCGTTGATTACTAACGAATCAACTAAATTGTGGGTCTTACGTCGTCCTGTTATCGTGTAAGTGCCTGTAATCCGCGAGTGCTTATTCCCGACCCAATTTATACAAATATATATAATCGTGCAAAATGTACGCTAATTGCCTACCCGCGAATTCAGATTTCAATTTCGGTCTCAGGAACACGTTAATAACATTTACACGAAATGTATATTTATTGACCTTGAGCGACCAGATAAAGTGTACCACAACATATAATTGTTCAGTGACCGCATCAAACTTTTATTCCCGTTCAGTGTGAACAGGCTTTCAATGGTGAATAGTCTTAACGAAGTGGGTAGATATGAATCTTCGAGTAACTCAAAGTAAAAACAAACTACAGATTGATGTATGCAAGACTGGTTCACTTCTCGAAAACTTTGTTTAGTTTACATTTGTAGTACAAGTATATGATCAGAGCTTCTACTAAAGGAATATTTTGAGATGATGCAGTGTCAACAATATCCTTGATGGTAAAAGAACTGTTCTTAGCACTTCTTTCTTAAAATACTTTGTTTCCTATAGTTACGTTAGTTGACCTACAGTACAAACCCATGAATTACCGTTTTTGTATTTGAACACGTCATTCGACTTTTAGGGTCATTCTTATGGATGAATATCTACATTATTTCCAGTCCATTTGTCGTTTGTGGTACTGTGATCTTGCGAACAGTAGGCTTTTTGTTCGCAGCTTATAACTATTACTTATACCAGAAGTGAAATCCGCATGAGGATTATGTGTCTGTAAACATAAAGCCGTTGTGAGAAGCCAGCCCACGGGAAGTACAAGCTGACTTTTTAGCATACAAGGACACCCCGGTATTTTTTTCAGAACTCCACTCAACCATATCTCCTATGTTAGCCGTCACTTCCTACCCAACCTCATAACATCAGGACAGTCCACGCCAGTCACTTAGGCTAAGTGATCACTTCGTGATTTGATAGATAGAATTCGGTCAGCACTAAGACGGCTAGACAAAGATGAGATTGGTCTCTACTGTATGACTAATCAATGTTAGCAAGAATATTACTTTTGTATACCGTACAATTCGATTGAATGTGGGTAGAATATGCTTCTTATCGAGGTAATACACGTAATTCTCAGTTAAACCACGAGATATAATCTTAGCTAAAATTGAATTAAGAATTATAAGTTTTAGTATCAAACTTCTTTAAATCAATAGGTTTCTCGTCAGAACCAGTCTCACGGGTATCATGTAAATTTTCATATATTTTCTTTCAATACCTGGGATTGTTTTATTTTACAAATTAGGATGCATAATTTCAATTGAATTGACATGATATTATCATTTACGTAAAGGTCCATCGTTCGTAATACACTACTTGGTATTCTCTGAGATATGATATTCATTTTTACCAAACTGTGTATTATATCCAAATCCTCAAACATTTAATGAATCGGTGGGGCATACAGAATTTATCTTCCTATGTTATTGTAGCCCTCTGTTGGTGTATAAATTCAATGCTGATAGATGACACGTATTGAAGACTAGAGACACCTTCGTATTACTTACTTTTAAGCTACTTACATCATTACGGTATTAATTTATTATCAGTTTATAATGAATTATTACTTGATTTCCATGTTTGTCCAAGATAATGTCTTCTAATGTGATCGACATTCTAACGTTATCTGCGTAATTAGCATTACCCAAACTACCATAATATTTTTCGCTTGTTTGTTTTTGTAGGAGCGACGGATCCATATCTCATACAGAGCAATCTGAATCTTCACCTCAGGATGACACTGTTTTATCAAATTCACCACCGCAACCAGTCAGATCTAGAAAACAAAATATAAGAGAGGTAAGCTTTTCGGTTAGCCATAGTCATTCCGAAAATGATTATAGATATTATTCACCAAAAAATCATTTTTATGTCATATTTATTATATTTTTCTAGTTGGAAATTGATATTAAAGAATAATTTGTTTTTGACTTTTTTGTTTACGTTTAGCTTCGTGAAGAATTTGAAGATTATCCTGAACTGTATGGTATACGTAGATCTGCACGAAGTCGCAAAGAGCCATTACGTTTCAAAGCATCAGAGAAAGATACAACTGATGCACTTTTTCGAGAAAAGCGAAGAAATCGTTTTCCTAGCAGTTCAGATAGTAATAATGTAACAGATAGTGAAACAGACGATTGGAATGATAATATATCAGTACGTTTTTAACTACAGTATAAACAGATTTTTTGACCCTTTTTGCTATCTTGATTATCGTACTAATTTTGGTTTTTGATATCACGAATGTTTAGGAATCGAAATGAAGTAGATTTGGGTGTAAGCTAACGTAATCGACCATGAGTCACCTCATCTCTGACACTCGGTTGTCAAGCTTGACTGTTTCTTCAACTTGAATTTCTTTGTTTAGTACACGTTAACAGTAAATAGTTGGCTTCTGGATTGATTATTGTGTTGATTAGTATAGCTCACCATTAAGCATTCCCTGTTGTAACTCAGTTCATGTTTGGGGAAACATAGAAATTAGTCCAAAATCTATAGTTGGTTTGTAGTAATAAATGAAATAGCTTCATACTCTTGGTATTCGTAAACCTATCGTTGACATATTTTTCTATTTTGACGTGATATCTGTCGGTGTATTCATTGACTATCGTTGAATTGAGCGGTGTTGGTATGTGCAAACCACCTGGTTAGGGTCAGCATAATAACCAAAATCAGTGGATGGAGTTGTTGGGTGTTATGACTCAGAATTGGTTGCAATTGTTGATGAATCCACTATTTTCCCTTGGATCATCAGCTTCATAACTACCCTATATGTTGTTTTTATTTCTATGAGTTCATGTCTCTTTTCGAATCATCTTAAATTTACGTAATCTTTCCGATTGCCTTTAATACTGTTACTACTTATAATACTCTAGGATTTGTTTTGATAATTTCATCTCCCTGTGTTGTGCTGTGGTAGTTTGAACTACTGCGCACATTTATCTCAGATCTTTCATTGCTTATAGATGGTTTATTCATTTTTCTTTCACATAAAATTTACATCAGCAATCAAGTATCGTTATATTGCTCACTACCAATTATCACTTGTTATAATTGTGTATTTAAAGCATAAAATACTGTTAGACTTTGTGATTGCCCTCTGATAATAAATGGTTAGTTTATTTATACTACAATTGGTGTTAGCTCGGTAGGGATCGGAGAAAAAAGGCGAATAAACACTTTCCAAAAAAAACAAATCTATACTTAATGTTATTGTAGTTGTAGCAGATAATCACATGTAAGTTACTCTTTGAGTTCGAAAGTTCTTATCAAGTACCTCTAACCAAATGACATTAAAACAATATAGACCACAATTAGTCCTCTATATCAATGGTCACATTATTGTTTGGTAGAATTCAATCCGAATTAAAGACTACATGAAAATTATATTGGTTATTACTCACTAACCGATCGATGTAAAATTACGTTAAATTTATAGAATATATAATTGAAGTACGGTGAGAAATAATACGGCTTTCGAAATATATCACATCAGTCTTATTTTTCATTCAGTCGTATATCGGAAGGGCATTCCATCGATTGTCTAAAAATTCTGCTGTAGTTCTTTATCCTAGTTATTCAAATTTCAACCAACGGGTTATGGAATAGAATACTAGTCTACCTATCAGGATATAGTACAAGTCGGGTACGATTCACAATGATTTGGAAATACATCTTCCAATAGTATATATTCTGTTGACTGACTCATATTAAATCTTGGAGTTTAAATTCGTTCCGCTAAATGTCTAATTTTTCCAATTGTATACCATTTGTTTACTAGCTAAATAAGATGAAATCCTTAAAGTAACGCTAATAATCAGTGAAATGGTCTTGCACATATAAATTATACTGCCAGTTATATGATATAATTTGCATTTATACTTGAAATTCAAAACATTATTGTTATCTTCATAATTTCTCACTAGGCTTATGTTACCTAATTTTGGTGTCTTTAACTATGTTCATGATATCTATGTAACTACTGGCGTTAGTTATCTTTAAAATCCGGTCGTTATTTTTGGTTGCGATGTAAAAACCTATAAAATACATCATAATCTAGTCCTCATTGCCATCTGAATTCCATTCATTTAAGTTCGAAACATAGTTATTAGATATCGTAAATCATTTTATACTCTGTCATCTATGCTTCGTCGCATTCATCATTACAATGTAACGATCATCCGTAAAGTCAATCTATGTACCACATCAAGCATTTCATGTTGAAGTTATACTTCTCCCCACTGGCTCTATAGTATTGTAGTTTCTGAGAAACGTTCAATTCCTAGGTTCGACTCCATTTCCACTATCCCGTAGTTCTACTGGACAGTGACTAAATAACACAATTATTCGGTTTTACTCCACTAGGTCTTAAGTCCTAATTCTGTTCCATATTTGTTTGCGCTTTTTGACATTATCACTAGTCCCTGCACAAAATCAAATGTGACTGAAAGTTGACTACTTAAACCCTTGACTAGCTACTAAGTTGACAGTTTCCTTACCTTTTATGTCTTATTGTCTGTCAATCTTCATAATCTACATGGTTCACAAAAAATATTTGCTATTTGTTTTTCTTTAAGACAAGACATCGTACTGTAAGAACACGAGGAAATCGTGTCAATTACAAAAGTGCTTTTGTAGATGACAGTTTTGATGAATCTAACGATGAACCATCGGAACGATCTAGTTCGAGCATATTTAAACCAATCAATCAACGAACTTCATATGGCACTGTACCAATACTAAAGTAAATACGATATTTATTATTATTATTATTATTATTATTATTATTATTATTATTATTATTATTATCGCAGATATTGACATTTTATGTTTACTGACATGTTTGCAATGAATAACTGTGTATTTTCATATCAAACACATACATATATGTATTTTTATAATCTCGTTTTTTATTATTAACTTACTATCGTTGTCGATGATGATGTCACTTGCCTTTTTTTCTCTGGCTGACATTTCAGTCAACAAACGTGTTTTCAAAAGCCAAGAGGTCCTTTGGTCCGAAAACCTTATGCACCAGTCTTGGCAAGCAGGTTAGCGATATGTTACTTTTACTGTTTTATATATATTATTCATCTCCAAAAAAATTAAGTAGCTCCAACCTACTTACCTTTTTTATACAATTTTCATCCTCTGTAATCCACAATATTTTAGCCTTAAAAGATGCCGGTCTTGGTTTTGGTTTCTTTGAAAAAGCGTTTTCCGTCTTTTAATAAAAAGTTTTTTTGCATCGGTTCACAGTGTTCTCATATGTGTGAGCGCGTGTATTTGTGCATGATGTAGTTGTGTGTTGTCCCCCATCTCTACCGACAAATAACACGCCTCATGTTTGTATCCTAGGAGGGAGGCAAGTTTTTGGAAATTGTAGGTGGCCTCGAATGATAGTCGCAGACATCACAAATGAATTGAGGTTATATATGTATACCACTAGATGGCAACTTAGCAATCTAAAAGTTAAGTGGTCGCCGTGATGTCTGAAGATTTTGTTTTTAGTCGTTCATAAAGTTTCAGAGGTGCTTCTGATGAAAAATCGTATGCTAGGGCGAAACAGCTGTCATGGTACTTCCAAGTTTTTAGTGGTTATTCAGCTACAGTCATTCTGTAAGTGGTTTGGATAAATAGTATTTTGTTTTTAATTTTTATTGAACTGGTAATTTTCGTCATCTTAAAATTGTTTTGTTTTCCCCCTTTTTACCGTTTTAGAAATTCAAAGTCATTCATAAAATCAGATGACAATAATCTAGACCAAATTGGCGTAAAAGAACAATATTCAGAAGAGGATGAAGATGGTGTAAGTGGTGAAGTTAACCGGGAAATTGAATGGGGAGTTGATGATGAAGAAGCGGATGTTATTGAAGAGATATTAACTCATGCTATTCGACGTAAAGGTGCCACTGGTAATCCTACCACTCTGTATAATACACAATTAGAAAAAGATTTAAATGCTGGTTTTAATCCTAAACAAGAGGATGGTGAATTACAATTTCTCATTAAATGGCGTAATTGGAGTCATATTCATTCGACATGGGAAACTGAATCTTCATTACGTAATCCAGATCGAGGTGCACCAGTTGCTGGTATGAAAAAATTCTATGCATATCAAGCAATTATGCGAGAAAAAAGTGAACGTTTACAATATGTTGAAAGGGAAGAACTAGAAACTGTGGCTTATGAAGAAGAACGTGATGAACAATTATTACAAGATAAAATGAATGTTGAACGTATAGTAGCCCATAGCCGTGATCCAGAAACAAACACTTTTGATTATCTCATTAAATGGTTTCGTTTGGATTATCGATTTTGCACCTGGGAATCTGGAAAGGTTATACATTTACTCTATGAATCAGCAGTTCAAGCTTATGAAACTCGTTGTAATTCTACCACATTACCTAATCGAAAATGTGAAGTACTCTATACACGACCGAAATTTCTACCACTAATGGAACAACCTTCCTACCTTGGACGCTCAGAGGAGCTTCGTCTACGTGATTATCAACTTGAAGGTATTAATTGGTTAGTTCGTGCTTGGACTCGTAGGAACAGTGTGATTTTAGCAGATGAAATGGGATTAGGGAAAACTATTCAGACTATTGGATTTCTTTCATATTTGTTCAATGAGCATCAGGTATATGGACCTTTTCTTATTGTTGTTCCTTTGAGTACTATATCAAGCTGGCAAAAAGAACTTCAAACTTGGGCACCAGAAATGAATACTATAATATATACTGGTGATCATGTATCACGACAATTGATTAGAGAGCATGAATGGTCAACTGGAGCTTCTAATAACAGACGTCATCAATCATTAAAATTCAATGTTTGTGTAACTACTTACGAAATCTTACTAAAGGATAAAGGTTGGCTTAGTCAAGTAAATTGGGCTTTTTTAGGAGTTGATGAAGCTCATCGTTTGAAAAATGATTCAAGTCAATTGTATAAAACTTTGAAAACATTTGAAACAAATACCCGTCTATTGGTTACAGGAACACCTTTACAAAACACTATGAAAGAATTATGGGCATTATTACATTTTATTATGCCGGATTGTTTTCCCGATTGGGAAGAATTTGAACAGACTTACAGTGTTTCTCCTGATGATCCAGCTAATAAAATGAATAGTGAAGCATTTCATAATCTTCATAAAACATTAAAACCTTTTCTACTTAGACGAGTGAAAAAAGATGTAGAAAGTTCATTACCGGAAAAAATTGAACAAATTCTGCGAGTTGATATGACTAAAGAACAAGCAAATATATATAGATTAATTTTAGCCCGTAATTATGATGGATTATTAAAAGTAACACGTGGCCATAAAGCTTCTTTTATTAATATTGTTATGGAATTAAAAAAATGTTGTAATCATGCTCATTTAATTGCACCTCCATCTGAAGTTGATCAACAGTATTTAACTAAAGAAGATCGATTAAGATCGTTTTTAAAAGGTAGCGGTAAAGGTACCTTATTAGATAAATTATTACAACGTCTTAAATCAAAGGGACATCGAGTTCTTATCTTTAGTCAAATGGTTCGTATGTTAGATCTTATAGCTGATTATTTAAGTTTACGTGGTTGGGGTTTCCAACGTCTTGATGGATCAATAAGAGGTGAAGTACGTAAACAGGCATTAGATCATTTTAATTGTGAAGGTTCAACTGATTTCTGTTTTTTACTGTCTACACGTGCGGGTGGTCTTGGTATTAATTTAGCTACAGCTGATACTGTCATCATATTTGATTCTGACTGGAATCCTCAAAATGATTTACAAGCTCAAGCACGTGCACATCGTATAGGTCAAACTAAACAAGTATCAGTGTATCGTTTTGTTACTCGTGAATCTGTGGAAGAGAAGATAATTGAAAGTGCTACACGAAAAATGGTTTTAGACCATTTAGTTATTCAAAGAATGGATTCAGCTGGTATCCGTAGTGGTCGACGTGGTGATACAGCTAAAGGTCATTTACTTACTGAAATTCTTCGTTACGGTGCAGAAGGATTATTTAAACAAGCAGACGAAGATGCTACAGAGTTGGAAGTTGATATTGATGATATTCTCAATCGAGCAGAAACACGAGATACAGAAGCTACAGTAGAGTCCAATCCAGCTAACGCTTTACTCTCTTCATTCAAAGTTGTAAACCTCGATGCATTGGAAGAAGATACTGATATTAAAAACGGAAATGATTCATTAAATTCTTCAATAAATACAGGATGTGAAAAAACATGGGATCAAATTATTCCCAGTGAGTTTCGGGGACAAGTGAAAGCAGAACAAGACAGAAAAACTCTGGTTGAACTTGAGTTGGGCCCACGACGTAGGCGTCCTGTCAAAACTTTTCAAGCAGGACTAAATGTTAACCAATCCTCTTCTGAAACATCGGAGACTGAAGAAAATGACAAAGTTCTCCCAACTCAACTTACAGAAAAAGAAATTCGCGCTTTGGTTCGTGCGATCAGACATTTTGCGCGCCCTCTGGAACGTATTGATGCAATAGCGGCTGACGCTGAGCTTCCCGATCATTCTGAGTCTGAACTTCGTGAGGTGGTAGATGCTGTTCTAAAAGGTTGTCGAACAGCCATGGAAGCGGCCTCCATCAATTCAAATGAAGAGTCCCAGAAACAAGCGACTGGTGGTAAAGGACCTGTTTTTCAATACGGTCGCGTTAGTGTGGCTGCAAGACCTTTATTACAAAGTCTAGAATATCTAGAAACCCTTCACCTCTGTCTACCCTCCACCAACAAAGAAGCACGTATGTCTTATGAATTGCCGTTTTCTCCTAAACTAGTCGCGTGGTCATGCAATTGGGACAATACTGATGATGTTCGACTTTTAGCAGGAGTTTATGAGCACGGATATGACAATTGGGAAACAATCAAACTAGATGCTGACTTAGGTCTCGGCTCTAAACTACTTCCAGTTTCACAAACAGAACGTCCACAGGCCAATCATTTACGATCGCGTGTGGATTATCTTTTAAAAATGTTAGCTAAATGCCATTCATCAGTCAGTAAAAATACTGAACAGCAGGTGATTACTAAAAAAAGAAGAAAAGAGGACAGAGAGTCAAACAAATCAAATCAAAAAGCTAAAACAATCACTTCAAAAGCCAATATAAAACATACTAATAAGCAGATATCTATCCCAATAAATTCGATGCCTAAATCAGCAGAATTTGTAGAAACTGACGACTCATCATCAGAATCAGACTATAATAAAAATAATGATGACAAACAAGAAGAAAATGACATTGATAATGATAACATATCAAATCAGCTTTTAAAAAATACTAAACAATCTAGAAAAAGTACAAATAAATCAAAAATTAAATCTGAGAAAAGAGATAAATATATTTCAGAATTAAAACCTCCTACACTTCAACCTTTATTATCTAATCATCAAGAGAATTTATCTAATGTATCAACAATGATATTTACAAAAAAAGAAGAAGATGAATTTCGTAATATGCAAGGTCCAATTTTTGTAAAAGTAAATTTACTCTATATATTTCGTTTTAGATTATGCCTAGTCTTTTTTTTTCAGTTTGTATATTACAGTAGAAACAAGTATTTAAAATTAATAACTTTTAAACGATATCTTATGAGAGAAAGTGACTGTTGGAGATTTTGATAAAACCAATACTTTGTATAAAGTTGATCACTTAATGCTTTCTCTGTTAGCTCGATTTTAAAGATATTTACGTTAAGTTCACTACTGGATTGATATGACTTATGGTTATGCTGAAATAACACCAGTGTCGGTAATATATATATATATATATATATATATATATATATATATATATATATATATATATATATATATATATATATATATATATAAAACTTGTTCCATTCGAGCAGTGAAGTTAGGCAGGGTTGCCCAATCTCACCATTCCTCTTCAACTTTGCCATAGACGACATCCTGGAAACAGCTCTGATGGATGTAAGTAATGGCGGTGTGGATATGTTGCCTGGAGAACGACTTCTCGACCTTGAGTATGCGGATGATATTGTCTTACTGTGCGATAATGCCCAAGGCATGCAATCCGCACCTAATCAGTTGGCAATCAGTGTCCGCAGGTACGGCATGTGCTTTGCACCCTCCAAGTGCAGGAATAAGGTCTAAGAAATATGAAGCTAACACAAGCGTCTACAATCGGTAAATGAAAACCGCTCTCATAAATTTAAAAGTATTCTCCATCATTGAAATACAAAATAAATGGGTCTGGGAGTGGTTAAAACATGTAACAGAACAATTAGAAATTATGTGCTTCAATTATTAAATCACCAGTCCACATGTAGAATAACACTCAAATCGTTTGACTACCACTTTTAAACTATCATACTATTGCTCACAACTAATCAATTAACTAAACATAATTCATTTTATTAAGATGGATCGTCTTTTTTTAGGCTGAGCAAATGAATAATCTTAAAAATATGCTCACCAAGATGAAGGAACTATATATTTATACGGGCTAAAAATACCAATTAACAGCATTTTATTATCAATCTAGCTTGAGTTAAAAAAACTCACTTATCATACCAGTATTTTCAGCAAGTCAAATTTATCAGTAGGCATCAAATGAAATAACGTATATAAGTGTGTGGTTGTGTGTATGCGTGCTTTCATGTAAAGACTAATATCGAGTTTTAATTAAACAATGCCAAACAATTACCGAATGTGATGTGAAATGTTAGTTGTCAACAATACTCACTACTCAGCAGCAATTTCTCTCCTTATTTTAGTCAAAGTTCCAGAGATCAAAGTTAAATATGATCTTTTTCGTACTTTTGTCAAAATTTTCCAGCATTGATTATCACTACAGTAGTTATTACAATTGAACATAAACTTGACTGAATGAATATTTGCCTAATGATTATTTATTTGTATTGGTAATCTAGAGGTGAAATTTTGATCTATTTTTATTAACTGAATTTCATTATTTCATTGAACTATTGATTTTACTCATCAGTTATGGTGCGATTCGAGTTCAACTACGTTTTCTTAAATTGCAATGGTCATGATTCCTTTTTTATAACACAAACAATTCAGTTATATTAAATTATTAGCAAAATATCCACGAGAATTTACCAACCTGTTTATGTGAGAAATTGGTTTTTACTTTTTAGTGTAAAAAGAAATTTGTACCGATTAAGAAACATTTCAAAGAGTTGGAAGATCTTGAACGAACTGATGAACAAAACCCAGTAGAACTGGCTAATGTCGTTTTACAAATTGGTGATCATATTCATTCCATTATAGATGTATATCCCGAAAAAGAGAAACGTCATGCATGGAAAAAGTATGTGTCTGTATGTCTATCGTGTTACACACGAATCTGGATTTATTTTGTGTTGTTTTGTTCTTGTATTCTTGGTTTGTCATATCGTTATGTTTTTCTGCAGAGTAGTTTATTTCTTAACAGTTGTGTTTTATATTCATTTCGAAGTTATATCGAACCCCAACTAAGTGGATCCCTGGCTCGAAACCTGTCTTACCTACTTTAGTATATTCAATCGAGTACTAATGACAGTAGTAGTGGTATTCACTTACATGTATTAACAAACGTGGATTGATCACTGAGTTGTAGTTGCTGATATCTTAGTAGATATCCCTCTATTAATAATTCAACTCAGAAGTTCTAATCATAACACTTCGTCAAATCTTCTCTTCAATTGTCTTAAAAAATAACTTATCTCAGCAATAACTCTTTTGTTTTATACTTCTGCTATCATGTATGGAACTTCTTGTCGCCTTCTTCCAACTTACCCCTACACTCCTACATCGCCTGTCGTGGTAGGAGGTGTTGGGCATACGTTGCATATGTCCCAACCACCTCAGTCGACAAAGATTTACTACCTCATCAACCAATTTCTCGTCTTTAGATAGTACTATTTTCTTAACCCAGTTATTGCTTACTCAGTGGTCCAAAAATACTCGAGTGATGCTTCGTAGACACATATGATCGAGTACTAGTAACCTACGAATATCCTCTGCATACGATAATGATATTCGACTAGGTTTCAAGTAACATTGTCGGTTGATATTTAATTATTTTAATAGTTCTAACCAGCTGATTGTTTCTTCGTAATGTGTGTTATTATATATACATTATTGAATAAGACAACTACCAATCAACGGTTCATCAGATAAGGGGATTAAACAATAAGCTAATTAAAAATAAATAGAAAGTTGAAACCTATGGTCACATGAACAAGAATGTTTTACATCCAACTACTCTTGTGTGTTTGACGCGCAGAATCGCTAACGTATTTAGTCAGTGGTATTGTTATATACTGTCTAATTCCTGGGCTATTTAAATAAATACAATAATTCATAATTTAAATTAGCAATACTATCGAATTACCAGACGTACAAACTTCAGAGAAACGGACGATAACTGCATTGTTCATTTAACTGCTAAAATAAATGGAAATGGGAGAAGTTTCAATATTTTATCACAAACTTCGGTCCGAACTTAAAGAATAGTAGTAGGTTACTGGAAAGATGACATTCAGGGTTTCGTGTGCACTTTAAATTTGTTTGAAACCTGAATTAAAAATTCCTCTCAGTTTACTTTGACTTAAACAAACGGACAATTAGCATTTAACAGTCATCAAACAAACGTATATCGTAGGAATCCCGATGAATTCTGTGTACTTCTAGGGAAATTTAATTGCAGGTTTTTAAAGAATAAATTGATTTTAAGCAGATCTGGTGAGTAATATCTGATGGTTTTCATTGGTTACTTATGATTGGTTTTTAATGTCAGCTATGAAGTCTGTAATTACTCAACTGTTACATTTTTTTCTTGATGTTTTTGTTCCATTCTAAAAAATCTTTATCTGATAAAAAAACACCACTAACATCAATCTATTAACTATTATTTTGTAGTTATCTATGGGAGTTTGTGCATATCTTTTCAAAGAATTCCACTGAAGAACTTCGACATATCTACAGACATGCTGTGAAACGTCGATTAAAAGAACAAAGAAAAAAAATAAACGATGTCGATTCTAATTTTCCACCAAAACATAATAATTCATTACGCAACAGCAATAATAGTATAGATTATTCTGAAGCGACATCAAATCGTCATTCTTCAAATCGCGACTACTATAGTAATAGTAATAATAATGATAACAGCACCGGTAATGCTGCATTATTTCGACGATATCATACAAATAGATTATCGTCACATGACCGAAATGATCGTCATGAACAGCATAGTGGTTACAGTCATGGTGGACAGAATAAATATTATAATAATAGTAATAGTGATTGGTCCTCTTCTATTACAAGTTCACATAAAGAATTCAATCGAGATAGGTAGGTTATTTCATTTTTGTAACGGTTTTAATTTTTTTTGAACGTTTTGTTTGTATTTATTTTATTTTATTTTCAATTTTTATTTTTTTCTCAGGAACAACAATAGTTCACGTTTCAATAACGCTTTTAATCGTCCACCGGGTCAGTCGAATGTAAAGCATCACAAAGATAATGGAGGTTTTACTTCACAGATGTATTCTTCACCTCGTGTTGTCTCTAGTCATTATCAGCAACAGCATAATTCCAGTAGTTATTCTTCTGGTCATTATCCTTGGACTAATTATTCATCATCAGACGATATGATAAATAGTTCCTCCCCTAAAATGGAAACATACAAATTTACCTCACATTATCCACCTGTGTTATCATCATCAACATCATCTTCTTTGCCCGAATCGATTACCTCTACTACCACCACTACTAAAACGCCATCATATTTCTCATCCATGGGACAGTGTCTTCCCCCACCACCTCCTCCTCCCCCTCCCCTTCTACAACAACAACATGCAACTAATCAACTATCACGTGATCCTCGACTTTCCTCATCAAGAAGATGATGTTAACTGTGAATGAAGAGCAGACAACTAAAATTGAATAGTGTACAGTCAATAAACGATTATGTACAATGTAAATTTTATATATATATATATATATATATATATATATATATATATATATATATATATATATATATATAAACCCCTTATCACTTTCCGATTTGTACTTACTATTATTTTTTTCTGTAAAAAGAACTAAATCCAGAAAAGATTTAAATGCATTTCTCTTGATAATCCTATTTTTATTGATTTTAGTGACGATGGTTAGTGCAAATGACGATAATGATAATACTGCTTTAAAGTTGCTTGATCTCCTTGTTTTTAGTTATTTTATTCACAGAAAAAAATAATCTGACTTTATTTTATGATGATGGGCCTGACGTAGTCTAACAAACTGGTATCTATAGTATAGAAAATAGGTTAAGTTTTTATTTGATAGTTAGAGTCATGGGTCGATCTTTGTTGGACAACCATTAAAAACAAAAGAGCGTTAGATAGATGTTTTATCTTAGCATGGGACTTCTCAGCTGCGTTTGTCTGTAACCTCACCACAGGGGATCGAATTCACAGTTTTTAGACCCTATGGCTAAGACTTTAACCTTTAGATCACTGAATCTGCGTCCAATGGTTTACATTTCTAACTTCTATCAATTCTCTATATTGCGCAACTTCCGAAGCCAACAATCTTTACAAACCCCCTATCTGCTAAACTTGTTATTTTTGCTTACTTGACATAAAATCCGGTACTATTAGGCACCGAAAATAGTATGCGTTTCACAAATAACGATACACACTATTATTGCTTTGAAATACTGGAATTACATCCTATCAATAGAATATACGATTTAGCTTGGTAAGGTTATTCGTTATGGAAGTAACTAGACTGACATCTACTGCCTTAACTCAGTCTGACAGGTAGTTCTTTCGTGATTTAACTACTTATTTGTAATAATTGTAATTTTTCTACTCACCAAGCTTAGCCCACTTCGAATTTTTTCTTGTTCCTGATGATCATTTAGCGATGATATCGAATCATAAAACAACGAGGGATCCAGAGAATCTGGCTTTTTGAGAGGGATGTTTTGGCCAATGAGATTGAGGATGGGACGGGAGTATTGCCGAAAATGGGGGCTTTGGTGATGGTCATGTGATTGATTTACCCTTCCTTTTAAAATAAAGTTCTTGTGACCTTGGTCCACATATTTATTAGGCGGGTTACTTATTTATTACGACTCAATGTGAACTTACTATTAATGTGCTTGGTTTAGGTGCCAGTCTCTCTCTCTCTCTCTACAAAGTATTTTCTCATTCTAATTAGATACAAATAGCTTATGAAACCGTTGAATGACATCAGTCGCATTGATTACCATCATACATTCATGACTAATTTATTGAACTGTTGTACCCATAACAATTGTCATGTTTGTAGATTAAAAGTCATAATTATTGAAGATGACAGTAATAATTATTGCATAGATTTATTTTCTTTCAATCATTAATTTTATTGATCAAGTTTCTTACTACTGGTTGATTTTGATCAGTCATCTAGAGTTTTAAAACACGAAGTTCAGCGAAGGGATCTCTTTTCAACGAATTTATTATCAAGCTGTACAATCGTGTATATATATATATATATATATATATATATATATATATATATATATATATATGAAAATGTTTTGTTAAAGAACTAATTCTGTGAGGAAATGTGAACACTAATAACCAACATTATAATAAGATGATTAAAATGAATAAAATGTCTTGGTTACAATAATTAAAGGTCATAGAGGTGTAAAAATAAATAAGGTGATATGATGAGTATTCATGAATAAAATAACGAGAATCTAAGATATAAGTAAAGGGGAAATGGAGTAATAATAATAATATTAAGGCCATGGTAACGATAATGATAAGACGTACTTCTTTTGTATGCATAGTTCTGGTTTGAGCTCATGGATGGTAAGAGCTTCGGCTATTTTTAAGAGTTTGATACGAAGAAATCTAGGTAAATTTGAATGAATCATATAAACAACCTTAAAACTGGACTGTGTATCCGTAGAATGATTACAGTCGATTAGGTGTTCAAGTATAGAACTCCTAACTGCTTTCTTCCCACCCTTGTAGAACCAAACTGGTACATGTTCTGGTATACGAGTTGAAAGTGAGCGCTGGCTACGGCCGATGTACCTTGCTTCACAAGAGGAGGTGAACTGGTAGATGCACATAGAGGCCACCAAACGCGGAAGCTTATCTTTTATGGATACAGAAAATAAGTTCTTACTCGTGAAGGTTATTCGCAGTTTAGCAGCATTAAATGTCCTTTTGATCGTTGTTTTTAAACGATTTTTAATTACGTCTGAAGTTCGGCACCCGGGCAGTATCACAACCTACACAAAAATGAAATGACAATAAAAACTGAAAATACTGCTTGCTCCAGTTAAAATTCAGACAACTCACCATTCCTCTTCAACTTTGCTACCGACGACGTTCTGGAAACAGTTCTGAAGGATGTAGGTAATGGCAGTGTGGATCTGTCGCCTCGACAAAGACTTCTCGACCTTGAGTATGCGGATGATATTTTCTTACCATTGTGCGGTGATACCCAAGCCATGCGATCCGCACTTAATGAGTTGGGAATTAGTGTCCGTAGGTATGGTATGTACTTTGCACCTTCGAAGTGTAAAGTACTGTGACAAGACTGGCAGGACTCTGATCCTTTACCCACCCTGGGTAGTGAGCAGATAGAAGTAGTCGAGAAGTTCGTGTATCTAGGTAGCTACATAAGTGCTGGTGGTGGCGTGAGTGATGAGATCGATTCACTTATAGTGAAAGCCAGATCAGTTTATGCCAATCTAGGCCATCTTTGGCGCCTTCATGATGTTAGTCTGTCTGTAAAAGGTCGGATCTACAACGCGTTGGTGAGAGCAGTTTTGCTCTACGCTTGTGAAACCTGGCCTCTCCGAGTTGAGGATGTTAGACGGCTCTCTGTATTCGATCATCGTTGTCTCCGACGGGTTGCTGACATCCAGTGGCAACACCATGTTAGTAATGCAGAGGTTCGGCATCGTGTGTTCGGGCGCAGAGACGATAATACAATCGGTGTCACTATCTTGAAACTTCGGTGGTTTTGACATGTTCTACAAATGTTGTCTCAGAGAACTCCTCGTCGTGCATTATTTACCGTCGCTGGGACTGGTTGGAATATTTGGATAGGTGGTCAGCGTTTGACATGGGTACGTGGTATGAAGGATAGCGGTACAGGACTGGCTTCTCTCAGTCCTTCACGACTCCCTGGTTGGGGTCCGGGAGATGGTGCAACGTAGTGGCTGGAAACGTTATCAGATATGGCTCAAAATAGAAACCAGTGGCGATCCTGCTGTAACTTTATTTTACGTTCTTCATAAAAAAATGGACGTAACTTCCTTAAGTGGAAGAATTCTTTCTGGTTGTACCTTTGCTAACTGAACTGCTTCTCCCATTATTATTATTTCACTAATTTCTGTTTGTTATTGTCCCTCTTTTTCTTATACACACCTTACATTCTTTATCTCTTCACTTTCTCATTGTTACTGTGTGGCTCATATGTATCTGGTGCCCGTTTGTACCAATATTTATGTGTTCAAGTAAATAGATAAATAAGGACTTCTGTGATGAGTCTTGAGTTGTATCAACTTAGGTCTTCAACCATTGATCAGGATTGTTATTTGACCCTAACCAATTAGTCTACTCTTATCAATACGACTTATACCAACAGATTTTGGTTTAGATATCTCTAACTTTCTTTTCAATCCTCTATCATACTAGCCAGCATTAAAAAATAATCAGTTGCAAGGGACTTTTTAATACCAAACTGGTAAACGATACTGGAACCAGTAATTCTTGACCAGCACTTATGATGAGTATCTGAAGCTGTCTTCTGAACTTTGTCGACCGATTCGGTAATTGGTAAGTTATTCATAACGAAACAGTTATCCTGTTTCTAAAGGGTTGTCAGATATAAGTTAATTTAGTTCAGATCAAGTTAGTTGCATCCATGCTACTTTACCATTGAAGTTTCTGGTTATATTACTAAACGATTTATTTTATCTCTGGAAGTGCATCCTTATTTGAGCGAACTATAAGATCTACACTTGACCAGTGAATACCAACTCAGCTTCATTTAAGTTCACTTTTCGGTTGACATTAGCATCAAATACAACCAAATTATCCCTAAATATCCCATTAACCATCACTAAAGATTCAATTGTTCATGGTTTATTATTTGCTACGGCAATAGGAATTCTGTACATTAATGGATTACCAAATATTGACCAATGCATTATGTGTCCATGCCTTAGTGTTAGTCGAATTCTATCGACCAAGTTACACTGTGACCACTAGTCTAAATCATAAGACATCACGCTCACTGTTTTGATAATTGATCAATGCACCAACTAGTCACTGCTCAAATAGCTTAGTATTAATGTGTCAGACTGTAAAATTGAGTAACTCAGGTCCGAATCGTCCTTAGAGTATCATTCCCTTCAAGACCGAAGAAACTCCTTGTTAATGAGTCCCGGCTAACATAGAGCCAAGGCTGAACAGTGTATCCTGGTGACAATGTCTGACCACTTAATGAGAACACTTAATTCTTGTAAATTTTTTAAACCTATAACCAGTTGAATATAATTCTCATCACCATGCATTCATTAGTTTTAAGATATATGCCTAGATCACAGTTCCAAATAAAAGTCCATAACCTATGCAGTCAACTTAAGTCAATTATAACACATTTGCATAACGATTACAACCTAGATCACCAACTAACTGAATTACTAAGTATCTCAATTGTCATTAAATTGTCAATCCAGTAGTATCAAGTGACATTATATTTCTCTTGAGAGAAAAAAAGTCAAATTGATTTAGTCTGATTTGTATGATCATTGATACTTTATATCGATAAGTGCTAAGAAACTGTAATTGAACTGATAACTTCTCAATGTTCAATTTTAATAGTATTCGTATCTATTCTAACTTTTCATTATAAACTAATAACAGCTGAAATGCAACTA